TGTTTTCATGCATAGTTGAGTCGCTTATCCTTGTTTCCACGTCAGAGGTATGGCTTTTTGGCCACAATTCTTCCACGAAGATCACTTCTGGCCCGACCTCTCCGGACAGTAGATGGGTGTACCTGGGTCCCACTGGTTTCCGCCAGTTCTGTGCTGGTGGCACTGCTGGACACCTCCTGATGTCAAAGGGAAGTAAGCATGATGTCTCTTCCATCTGCTGCATTAAGGTTCCTTGGCCGACCACTGCGTCTATGGTCCTCAACGTTGCCCATTTCTTTGTGCTTCTTCAAAAGAGCTTGAACAGCACATCTTGAAACCCTGGTCTGCTTTGACATTTTTGCCCGGGAGAGACCTTGCTGATGCAGTAGAACTACCTTGGGTCTTGTTGCTGTGCTCAGTCTTGCCATGATGTAGGACCTGTGACATGAAACTGTCTTCCACAACCTCACCTTAGTAGCAGAGTTCGGCTGTTCCTCACCCAGTTTTAAGCCGCCTACACAGCTGTGTCTGTTTCAATTAATGACTGTGTTTCAACCTATATATGAAATTGATGATCATTAGCACTTGCTTGGTATAATTGATTAGTCATGCACTTGACTCTAATCCTACAAGACTTTGTGCAAGTGTACAAAGTGTGCAAGTGTAAGAATTGATGCTAGTTTGAAGCCAAAGGGTAGTCACACCAAATATTGATTTGGGTTTTTCTTCTGTTTGCTCACTTTCCATTTTGGAAATTGATATATATTGTAATTGTTTATGTTTATTTTTGAAAGCATTCTTACTTTATGGCATTTTTTCACCCCTGCCTAAAACCTTTGCACAGTACTGTAGCAGGACGGAGAGCCACCTTGCTCCCCCACCAGATCTGGAAATGGCGGATCGTTCCTTAAGGAGCTGAGCAGGTGGCCCCAGGATGAGAGGTCAGCTTGGGCAAGGTTGTGTCTTGGCAGCGGGTTCAAGTTCAGTGCTGCCAAAGAGATGGAGTTTTGAGATGGCCCACAGGGAGTTCTGAAGCTTGCCATTTAATGTATGCTGGGCGGGGGCATCTGAGAAGGACAGTGTAATCTGTCATCAACGTTCAGCGATATCCAAGTATCCTCAACAGGGTCATTTTGCGGAAGCCGTCCATCAAGCACCAATCCTGCTGACCTCTTGTGCCTTAAAGGCCGTAAAGAGAAATCGCTCCCGTTGTCACTGGTGAAATCTCAAAACCATCCGAACATGCTGGATTGCTAGAAGTCAGGAGGTAAGGTTCGGCTCCTCCGTCAGTCCCCAGCGTTTGCTCCTCATTTCAGAAGCCGGACAGAGGAGGTGGTTTAAGCAGCACGACACGACGGCAGCTGCCATTTGCAGTTTTCCTTGCAGAAGCCAGGCTGGATGTTTGTTAATGTGCAGGAAGGGTGGCCTGTCGCAGGTCAGAAAGGTAAATAAGCCTGTCAGATCAAAGCAGCGATTTTGCTCCCCAGCCGTTCAATCGCAGGAAGACGGGGTACAATGCTGTCTGTGGCGGTCTTTTTCAGCTGGATGTCCAGCCCCCAAACGAATGTCTCTGTATTTGCTAAAAAATGGGGGGGG